CTGGGGAGCATCCAAAGATACCCTCCTCTCTCTCTACATATCACTAATTAGATCAAAACTAGACTACGGCTGCGCCATATACAACACCCTAAACAACTCTCTATCTAAAAAACTTGACTCAATACAATATCAGGCTCTCAAACTAATTACACGCACCCAACATGGCACCTCCTACACCTCACTTCAGGCCTTAACAGGAGAAATGCCACTAAGTCTACGCAGGGAACAGCTAAGCTTAAATTTCTGGGCCGCGTCCCAATCAAACCCTCTCATCCAAAACTTAATAAACCAAAACATCAGCCCCAAAAACCAAGCTCTAGCTCGTAAACACCCCTTACTTACCCCAATATCCCAAAGAATAACAAACTACCTAAATGAACACCAAATTAAAAATCTTAAACAAAACTGCAAACAATCAAATATCTTCACCCCTAAACTTAAAATACCCAAAATAGACACAACACTAGCTAGCCAAATAAATAAACAAACCGACCCAAACATAGCTAAAACTACCACACTAGCATACATACACGAAAATTGGCCAAATTGGTGTCACATTTACACGGACGGATCCTCAGATCCGACCTCCAAACACACAGGTTTCGGAGTCCATACCACACAACCAACTAAAACCACACAATCCTTCCGACTCCCAAACAACCAATCAATATTCACGGCAGAACTAATGGGCATGGCCTCAGCCCTCCATAATCAAGAATCCAAAAACCACAAAAAAATCCTAATACTTACCGACTCCCTAAGTGGACTGCAAGCCCTCCAAAACAAAAATACCAAAAACCGACCTAAATTAATAAATCAAATACTTAAAAGCTCCAACGACCTAACTAAGGCAGGCAAACAAATAACCTTCTTGTGGATACCCGCCCACGTAGGAATATACGGTAATGAAAACGCAGATAAAGCAGCTAAACTATCCCTCAAAATCCCAGAAATAAGCTTAAACTTACCCATCTCAAAATCAGAAATTAAAAGTGTAAACAAGCAAAAAATCACCAAAAAATGGCATAACCTATATCTAAACTCAAATAGCCAAATCAAAAAAGTGCTCAGCAAACCACTAACCAAACCAAAAATTCTCCATCCATCCAAAAAAATCGACAGAGTAATCACTAAACTCCAAACAGGACACACCAACCTAAATAACCACCTTAAAAAATTTAAAAAACACACTACAGGTAACTGCCCACACTGCAAACAACCAGAAACCCCAGAACACGCACTCATCCACTGCACACACTACCTAACACATCGAACCGCATTACAAACCACCCTCAATCTAAACAAGGCTCTAACTCTAGAATCAATACTAAACCCACAAAATAAACTAGAAAACTTCAAGGCCTTAGGCGTATTCTTAATCAAAACGGAACTAATAAAACGCATCTAAAAACACAATAACTCACCAAATCAAAATCACATAAACAAACAAACATCCACCATACCCAGCTCCCTTAGTTCTCCTCCCCAATCCCATCGGCATCTATTCCAAATCTCAAAATTCCCAAATTCTATATAAGCAACCCCTAAAACCCCCCTCTTGGGTTGCACAGACCACCTTCGCCCCTTTCGGAAACACATTAAATGGCCTGGCCGGGCCCGTGTGCGAAATACGCATCAGTCGGAAAGCGCACGTTAAATCTCCAAAGTAAGTAAGTAAGTAAGTAAGTACGCGACGTTAAACCCCGTTTCACCTCACCTCAATTATTATAGGGATGGAAAAGTTGCAATAAAGAAAGGAAAAACATACAATTTGTAGCCGAAAGAAGCCTCTAGACGAGTCTGTAGTAATGACATATATATTGTAGGGAGTCATATAGGCATGCAGAACAGGTAGGCTTAGTCTTTTGAAGGACTAGTCAAGATTGTCACTGGTGGATTCGTCAAACGGTCAGGCTCAGATTACATTATTAAGACGCAAGCGCAAGCGCAACTTGCATCAACTATATATAAGATAACTACTCGATAAATCGCAAAAGAGCTATGAAGAACGAAGCGGGGTTCATTTCACGATAAAACATCGTTCTATCATGGCGTCATTTCTGGAGATTCGAATATGCGCTTGCAACGAGATGACTTCATATATTGGATGACGTTATTTTTTAGAGGAAGTGCCAAGTGAGTTGTTCCCCATAGATGTAGTTTGGATAACCAGATAAACACAGTGGCCAAACGATCGCATCCAAAAGGGGAAGAGATATGAAAATAGGTATTAGGAGAAAAGTACAGATAATCATAAAATGGACTTGTCCGACATTGCCGAGGACGGATTCTATTCAGGGCGTCATCATTATTAAAATTGAGGTAACTATTTTTAAAGCTTGCATATTTTATCAGCATCCTTTAAGAGGCTGTACATAACGCTGATATCTCATATAAGAAAAAAAAGACTCGTTGTCGTTGTTTACTTCTTAAATAACCAGTATCCTCAACCAGAGATCCGGTTTCACATAGAACGATGATTATATAGTGAGAAATAAACCCTAGTTTATTTTAATTTAAACGGCAATGCCATGGCATCTGATTTACTGTCCATTTATTTAACAGTCAAGGGGAGACAATCCAGACTGTCAGTTGCTGATTATGCTGTAAGCGGTATTTGTTTTTTTATTGTTGCAAGGGACACGTCACAGGCGCCAAACGTAACTTGCAAACTACACGTTGTGCAGGAATTTGGTGATTTTTCTCAGTCTGTTTGTTTAAATTCACTCAAAGAAGAATGTCTGTGAATAAAAAAGGCGAAGGAAACGAACAGCCAAGTCAGTTCGACTTTCGACAATGGTGCAGTGACAGCCATCTGAACAGTAAGACCGCACAAATTTTGAATGACGAAGACATTGATAGTCCAGTTGCGTTGTGCTTGATGTCACTAGATGACATTACTGAACTAAGATTGTCGGTAGGTCAGCGGAACATCCTAATTCAAGCAATAAAACAGTTGAAATCGCCGCAACCAGTACAGTCGCTGCCGTCGCCTGTCACAACAAAAACACTTGCGTTTGTTTTCCTTTTCCAGCCCATATGGCACTAGCGCTGGATTTCTTGTTGTTTGTCGTTTAAGACAATTACTTTGTCCGTGTACTACTAGCATATCAACCAAGGATTGGATGATGGAGTTTAATAATTGTAAAAATATCATCGAATTTTTAACCCAAATCGTTTCAGTAATGAGCGATTTCAAAATGTTCCCAGAAACCACATTGATACAACCAACAAAAATCAGAAACGCTCTGCTTTCTTAAGTCGTCTACCTATGGCATTGTTTTCGCACTCACCATTAGTAAACTTCTCATCGGCCTTCTGATTCTTGGCCGCCAGGAGCCCCTCGAAGACCTCTTTGATGCCATTAGTTGCAAAGGCTACATCCATGAACATATCCTCGATCTTGAGATTGGCGTGGTCCTTCACATTGTACGTTGCGCGGAGCTGAGAGTGGCCAAATCTGTGAGCAGCAGTAGCAAAGCTGTTGTACAGCCCTGGATCAACGGAGGCGTCATAGGCATATGTAGTGCCGAGGTCAAAAGCATCGTAGAAATCGTCTCCAAGGATCAGAGGCAACCAGTCCTTGTAAGTGATATGTTGTATGGCAGCATTGACAATACGGCGAGCTTCCTGGTAGAGAAGTTCATCGTCATATTCAGTGTGTACATTGGCAAGACCCCCTGCAATCCTGTTATGTTCCTTTACCCACAGCGTATGCGTGGCTGTCAGACCAGCGAAGACATTGACCCGCCAGTCGCCTGAAACAAGTGTGTTTGTTTGTTGTTTAACGCCGCACTCAGACATATTCTAGCTATATGACGGCGTTTTGAAAATAATCGAGTCTGGACCAGACAATCCAGTGATTGACATCATGTGCATCGATCTACTCAACTGGGACACGATGACATGCATCAACCAAGTCAGCGAGCTGATCCCGTTAATAGTCGCCTCTTACGACAAGCAGGGGTTGCTCAAACCGGTTCTTCATGAAGGGCCTGTAACTGGTGATTGGGTGGCTGAAAAACGTAATGCGGTCTCAGGCATTTACCCCGGAATATGATTATCTATGACAGCAGGTCGCAGCTGTGTTTCCAAATTTTTAAACTAGTGGACGACTGTTTCAAGTTTCCAATGTCTGTTCCTATGAGTGAGTGAGTGAGTGAGACTGGTTTTACGCCGCTTTTAGCAATATTCCAGCAATATCACGGCGGGGGACACCAGAAATCACATATTTCAAGTACTTGCACAGTATAAAAGGATTGTGTACAGTTATATGCCATTACGACTTAATATCCTCCAAAAATGTTTTTGATAGTGTAACGATATGATGCTTTATTATGCTTGAAAGTGAGATTGGCCAGTCGGATAGCAGAAATACTAAACCTATATGAGCCCGTATACCGCCAGTAAAAATCCAAGAGGGTTGTTATTTACCTAATGTGAAATCGTGCACCGTCAACAACAGTCATCTTGGATTATCCAACACCCCCCTCACATATTTTACATGAAGATTTTGTTAGAGAAATTCTTATTTGACACTGTTTGGTATTTTAATTTCATTAATTGTGATGTCCAAAACACGTTAATGTTTAGAAATTTCAACGTTTGGCTCTAAGGTTTAAAGAGTAGTCTCCCTTTAACCCTTAACGTCAACGGTTGTAAGTGTCAAGTTTTCATTTTGATAAAGATAGCAGATAGTGTAAACGTTTCGGCATAATACATTCTGTATGCTTCTGCAGTTGTTATCTTTGGTGTCATATAAGATCAGCAGAAACATTCTGCCGCCTGTCCAATATTTTTCTGATCACCTAATATGACAGTATACGGCAACCGAAGACACTATAACTGATAATATAACCCTTTTAGAAGCACCATTTTATTCAACAGATATTGTACTATGCGTCTAAAAAAGGACCAAACACGTCTTCTGCTCAATAAATAAATATATAAATGATATATACTCATCCCATAAGAATGACATGTAAAAATACCTACCAGCATTCGGGCACTTATTCCCGGATCTCTGTAGGCAAAACGTCTTGTCGGAAGTTGGCAGGTTGTCGCCCCCAGAAGTGGTTTTCAGCAAACCTGCATGATGACAGAGCATGTTCAGGATTAAAGTGAACAAAACCCTTTCCATAATCATAAGAAATATTCGCTTAAATCAGAGTCCGTTGTACGGTTCCGACTGTGCCATAAGCATGTGTTCATGAATCACTCTCACAAAGTGATAATACAAGGTGTTCGCGAAAACAAACACGGCAACATGAGGTACAAGTCAAAATAAAGAATAGCATCAGGCGTACTTTTCCTCAATGATGCGTCAAATTTGAAAATGTCAAACAACTTTTGTTTTATTTTCGAAGAAAGAGCATGCCCGAGTGTACCTCAAAAGTTGTGAAATGTAGAAGGTGAGGTGAAATGGGGTTTAACGTCATACCAAAAGACGTTAAAAGATGGTACTTGTTGTTATCCTGTTTGGCGCTCGGCATGAAGGGGCTAAAACAAGGACTGCTCGGCTCGGAGTCAGTATACTGTGTCTGAGTGGGGTATTCATAGTAAACTGAGGCATGTTATCTCAGTGTGCTGGCACTATAAATCGGCATCAGTCCGTACTAGTACAAGCAGCCACACACACACACACGTGCATGCACGTCATGTAACGATGCTGTGCGTTATGGATAAAATGGTTTCATACGCATACGTATTAATCACAGTTCCTGCACAGAATGCGTGGCTGTCTCAGATTATACTTACCATCTGATTTGGTTCTTAATTCGTCCGCCTCCTCAACTGAGCCTCCGTAGACGGTGCTGGCGTCGACGTAGGAGGTGAGGATGTTGAACTGTTCCCGAGGTGACGTGTCTGTAGAACATGGTGAGGAGTGAGTGAGTAAATATATATTTGCAGAAAGAAGTAGAGGATAGTGGCAATCATCCTGACACATCTGATCTTTTATGGTATTGGCAACTGAAAATGATATGATCGGCTGGCGGGGAGTAAATTTAATGGGTTATGATGATTGGTTTGATGAGATTGTAGCGCAAAAGGGGTCTGGCCGCATTTGAAATTTGCTCTTGGCAGCCAACGCCATTAACATCGGATAAAACCACCTCTGATATGAAAGAATTCTTCCAGGCATGCTTCTGATCTGTTTGATTCATGTTGTGTGTGTGCACTCGTGAGTGAGAGCAACACCGAGTTCATTAAGAGTTGTGGGTAGAATTTGACGTTGACGTATACGTCTGCCAATGACGTTGCAGACATGTTCAAAAGAGGAAAGGTCAAGACTGAGTGTTGGTCATGGCATGACATGGATGTTTTGCTGTTGGAGGAATTGGGCAACAATCGTTGCACGATGAGCACGTGCATTATCATCTTGAAAGATGGAACGTGGTGAAATGTTGTCCCGATGGCATTGACCCGTGACTCTTTTATACCATCCATGCCATAATGGACCCACCCCCAAAATGATCATGCTGTACGACGAAAACGTCCATAAAACGCCCATTGAGACGTCTCCAAACTCGATTCATTTGGTCATGGAAGTCTAGAGTTAACCTGGATCCTCCGGCAACATGATAATCCCAGTGATGGCGTTCTCTACAAACTGACGCCACTGATTCAAATGACGTGCATGTAGGTTGTGGGATGACACATGGACGTCGGGCATGTACTCTCACACCAGTTGTCTGTTGCAACCAGTCCCTCATCTGTGTGGCAGTTTGCAACGGTTTTCTTAATGTCATCGTTTTAACTTATCTGTCCTGGGCTAGACAACAGTATTCTGACGTGTGCCCACCAGAAACATGGCACGTAAATGCTTTGCACGTTGCAAAACCTCGCGTGGTAAAAGTCCCAGACCTAAGTGACCGCCTCCGTGGTGTAGTGGACGGATTTCCGTTGTTCGATTCCCGGCCGCGCCATAATAAAAGACGTCAAAAGATGGTACTTGTTGTTATCCTTCCTGACGCTCAGCATTACGAGATGAAACAAGGACTTTGTGGCATAGTTTCTCAGTGGGCTAGCACCATAAAACCAGCATCAGTCCGAACGAGTGGAAACCCAATTTCACGTCACATCACTCTGACCTAAGTTCCGGTAGGGTCAACCGCGCTATGCTGACATTGATATAGCTAAACAATATGTTCAAATGATGTTAAACTGGACGATAATATTCCATGAGGGTCTAGTGCAAGACTGTATACAACATCTGTAGTGGTAGATAAGTAATACTTACTATGTGGGGAGGCTGCAGAGCGGGTGAATGGCAGACATTCGTTAAAGTAACGATCTCCGGACGGTATAACGATAGGGAAGCAATTCCCACTGAAAATAGAACATGTTTCGGCCTTAGAGTCTTAAACTGTATCGTTCAATGCTCAAACGAAATCTTTAGAAGATAAAATAACTCTAAAACATTTTTACAAGATATATTTTGCAAAGATGTGGACCAATAATGTCACAAGAATATCATATGTTCTATCCTCCAAAGGAAAAAAATAAATTATTATATAATATCGTTATTATATCGTTAGTTATATTGTATCGTTTTGTGTGGTGAATAGGAGCATATTCTCAAATATTGCTTATATGGAATGTCATACTCAGAGTCGTAGTCGGGATGCTTGCCGTCGCTGTCCAATCCTGTACAGCATCAAGTTTCTTATAACAGATGAGAACATGACAATGAAATATATTGTGAACGGTTGTAGGTATTCTTGATCATAACGGGCCGAGGGGCGGTCGGGTAGTCCAGTGGTTAAAGAGTTCGCTCGTTATGCCGAAGACCAGGGTTCGATTTCCGACATGGGTACAATGTGTGAAGCCCATATTCTGGTGTCCCCAGCCGTGTTATTGCTGGAATATTGCTAAAAGCGGCGTAAAAACATTCTCACTCATAACGGGCCGATTGAGTGTATGACTTTCACAGGGGGCAATGTAAGGAAAGGGGGAACATGAGAAAAGAGGAGAATATTATCTGAGATACAAGTTGGTTCAACATTATTGCCAAAAAGGTGTTGGGTGAAGCTTATATTCTTACATGTAGATGAGGTTAAGGTATATTGTTGCAGGTAGAAAGAGGTAAAGGGGATATTGTTGCAGGTAGAAAGAGGTAAAGGGGATATAGTTGTAGGTAGAAAGAGGTAAAGGGGATATTGTTGTAGATAGAAAGAGGTAAAGGGGATATTGCGGCAGGTAGAAGGAAGTAAAGGGATATTGTTGTAGATAGAAAGAGGTAGGGGGATATTGTTGTAGACAGAAAGAGGTAAAGGGGATATTGTTGTAAGTAGAAAGAGGTAAAGGGGATATTGTTGTAGACAGAAAGAGGTAAAGGGGATATTGTTGTAGACAGAAAGAGGTAAAGGGGATATTGCGGCAGGTAGAAGGAGGTAAAGGGGATATTGCGGCAGGTAGAAGGAGGTAAAGTGGATATTGTTGTAGATAAACAGAGGAAGGGGGATATTGTTGAATATTATCTGAGATACAAGTTTGTTCAACATTATTGCCAAAAAGGTTTTTAGGGCGTGAGGGTGAAGTTATTATTCTTACATGTAGATGAGGTTAAGGTATATTGCTGCAGGTAGAAAGAGGTAAAGGGGATATTGTTGTAGATAGAAATAGGTAAAGGGATATTGTTGCAGGTAGAAAGAGGTAAAGGGGATATTGTTGTAAGTAGAAAGAGGTAACGGGATATTGTTGTAGGTAGAAAGAGGTAAAGGGATATTGTTGTAGATAGAAAGAGGGAAAGGTATATTGCGGCAGGTAGAAAGAGGTAAAGGGGATATTGTGGCAGGTAGAAGGAGGTAAAGGGGATATTGTTGTAGGTAGAAAGAGGTAAAGGGGATATAGTTTTAGGTAGAAAGAGGTAAAGAGGATATAGTTTTAGGTAGAAAGAGGTAAAGTGGATATTGTTGTAGATAGAAGGAGCTAAAGGGGATATTGTTGTAGGTAGAAAGAGGTAAAGGGGATATTGTTGTAGATAGAAAGAGGTAAAGGGATATTGTTGGATGTAGAAAGAGGTAAAGCGGATATTGTAGATGGAAAGAAGTAAAGGGGATATTGTTGTAGATAGAAAGAGGTAAATAGGATTTTGTTGTAGGTAGGAGGAGGTAAAGGGACATTCTTGCAGGTAGAAAGAGGTATAGGAAATTTTATTGCAGGCAAAAAGAAATAATAAAATTATTGTAGCAGGTAGAAAGAGATCAGGGGAATATTCTTGCAAAAAGGAAAATATAATATTGTTGCAGGTAAAACGATATGAAGAGAATATTTTTGTAGATAAAAAGAGGTTTTGGACATATTGATGTAGACAGAAAGAGATCAAGTTAATAATGTTGCAATCAGAAAGATATAAAGGATATATTTTCTCAGATAGAAAGAAGTAAAGGGGATATTGTTGCAGGAAGGAAAATAACAATGGTGTAATAATTGGTTGAATATTTAAACTTTCTTACTCTTTGTCCCTGGCGTGCCAGCAAAATCGTGAGCCATGAACTGCCCCCACTGCATGACAAGCTGGTTCTGCGTTGGCTCCAGACTACTGTCACTGTCGGCGGAGAAACACCCAACACTAACCGCCCTGGCACTAGGTAGACCATTCAACCGAGGTTTTCCTGTAGCTGTTAGTGAAATTAAATTAAATCGTTCAGTTATATGTGGAGACCTTCATGGATACACATATACAAATATATAAAATTACCATCTTTATGAACGATATTGAAGTTTCAAAACAGAATATTGTTGAAATTTAATGTGATCATTTAAAGTAAATGACAAAAGACTGGCACTGGGTAGACCCTTCAATTGAGGCTTTCCTCTAGCTGTGAGTGACATTAACTCGTTCAGGTATATATTGAGATCTTCATGTAAACATGTATATATAAATACCGTCTTTATGAATTACATTGAAGCTTTAAAACAAATATATTGTTGAAATTTATTGTTTACATTTAAAGTAAATAACAAATTTTAAAATAGTCCAATGAAAATTGTTATTCATAGAAAATATGTACCATTTACACATTGAGTTGAAAATAAAGTTTTATGTAATTTTACTTAAGCATAATGTACTTTCATATTTCTAAACCCATTTTTACGGACACATACAGTCATCATAGGCTGCATTGATGAGTCTCCTCATGTCCTGTAGAGGCGCTCCCCATCCTGGGTTGTTGAGGTTGTTGCAGATTCCACTTTCTGGGCGGAAGATGAAGTCGTCCACGCAGGAGCTGGAGTTGTAATCAGGTATCAGGGGAAAAAAGCAACAAGTGCATACTTTCAACTAGAGTTTGGTGCAAACATAATTAGCAGGTACAATTGCGCTTGTCAAATAGTGTTACTCTCATATTTACGACATTTATTAACGTCAACACTTTCATATTTTCACTATGTTTATACAATATCCAGTGTGACTAATTTGAACTTATCGACAATTTACCATTCCTTGGATGTTTGTGAGAGGCAGAATATTTGTTCCAGCATGTCCAGAAAAGGCTTACATGTTTTTCTAACAACCTCTGGCTATAAGGTCTACAGTATGGACCTTTAGCGATATTTGACCAGTCTGAAAATGGCTCTCGTAGATGAGATGATCTATCAACATAACGTGACATAAATAACAGATAGGTATAGTAAATATCGAATTCAATTGTTGATTTGTCAAAAAATAGAGAAATTTGAATTACGAATGTGATTTTAAACTTTTGAGATTTTCTGCTTTCAAAGCAAGAGCTACGACGTTGGTTTACGAGAGCGATGTTGTTTTCCATTACTTTTAAAGTTGTTTTTTGTTTGTTTGTTTGTTTGTTTGTTTAACGCAGCACTGAGCAATATTCCAGTAACATTACAGAAGAAATCAAACCCTCGTCTTAAACGTAATATCTGAAGCCACTGTATTTGTGTACTACAATGGTAGTTTGGAAACTACTTGAACATCTGATATCAAACAAAGGAGTTTCGTCTAAAATATAGTTTAATAAATGTCCATGTTATTTCACATTTACACAACAGTTTATCATGACGCTTTTCGTAGTGTGACGTATCGCATCCAACAACCTACCTGTCCCTTGAGCTAAGGCGACCCTTCTCCCGAGTGACAATCTCTTTAATTTTCGTTCCAGGGTGCCACACCCTCTCAGAAGCTGAAAAGACCAAAGACATTCCGAAAGGGTATAATGCAAAGACCAGCTGATTTTGGCCTACTATTGTCCACACAAAGAAAACAATTATTGGTATCGTCCATGTAAATTAAAATGTCCCTAGGCTCTCATGGGGCGCATAGTTGTTCTGTATGTCCGGTAAAATCTACTGAGTGATTGAGTGAGTGAGTGAGTGAGTGAGTGAGTTGGGTTTAACAGTATTCCAGTTATATCACGGCGTGTCAGCGTAATGTGTGAGGAAAGCCCGAAGTGATGCAGGTCTCAGAGTTTTTCATACTTCGGTTAAACCCACGAGCACGGGTATGGTGCTGACATACCTAGAAATATAATCGGGGCGAACCGGGATTTGAACCCACATTCTACCATAAATTTGCGCGTTCGGTTCCAAATTCAATTTAGAGGGGTTAAATCTACAGGTAACCTAGCTCTACATTGAAAACACAGTATGTTTATCTCCTAAATCATAGGTTTCTGGCGTGCCCAAGGGCAACTCTGCACAGCGAATCGCGGCGCCTTAGACGACTGGGCCACCTGTGCCCCCTAGTCCGGTAATCTATATGACAAAGATCCCAAGAATACAGGTCCAGGAATCCCAGCGTTCGCCCCGATTATGATTCGTAGCTTGGATAGCTTCATTATACAAGTCTTCATTGGATTCACCAAATTGGCAATCGTCTTCTTACTCCGTCTTTCTATGGACATTCCTCCAAAACATGCTGCTACATCGTGATGTAGTTGAAGTGGTGTCTAAAGCGGCCTTAAACCAAGACATACTCACTTTTGACATTGCTGACTAAAGAATAAAATTTGATATCCCAGACACACAAAAGATTCAGTTTGGAAACAGTAATAACCAGCGACCTTAGTGTAAAACTTGATTAGTGATTCCATTTCAATATGTTGTCATTCGTGACCGATGACGTTTCAAGGGTCTGCAAATCATTGTACTACAAATTTATTGTAGCGATATATCCTTGGAGATATCACTTCATCTCACTCAAGATATATCCCAAGATAAATCTACATTTCAGAGCAAATTAAATAAGGATAAGATATATGGATGAGCAACTTCTTTATTACAATTAGGAGCGACGTTTCGGTGTAGGTTCTAACACCGTTCACAGCAAATGCAACGGTAGGAAAAACATCATTTCGAATTACAAAAATAAAATTGATACATAAACAATACTAACACGCAGCAACAACCCGGTATATATAGTCATTAGAAGAATAGCCAAAGATAACAACGTGTCGCAGTATTATTACATATCCCTCATTTTGTTTCGCTTTTGTCTTCTTCAGAAACTTCTAGTATTTTAAAAACGTGAACACTGTATTAAAACGAAATAAAATTGTAGTTTGGGATATCTGGAATGATTAATATCGGTGATCTTTCACAATACCATATCGATTTCTTTACAGTCAGTCATATCAGTAGGGACACATCTCCAAATGAATGGAAACATTTCAGTATTTTTTGTGATGTCTTTGCTAATTAAACGCAGATACTGTTGAAATACTTGGTATGGTTT